CCGTAATGCCCCAAATTCTTATAACTTGACATGTTAAATAAAGGGCTGATTCAATCAATCCATAGTTACAGGATCAATGGTCCATTAATATAATCAAATCACTACCGATGGCGTAGCTTGAGAGCTATTATAAGATCATGTGATGTGAAGTGAGACGTATTATCCCCAATTCATTGGATTAAACCCATACATGAAATATTCAAACATATTGAATTAGAAGACCAAAAAAAAAAAAAAACAATAATGTTATTAAAATTTTAAATTGGATATCTTGAATTGAATCTCAAATTGAATATCGAAAAAGTCTCCAATTTCATTCTGAACGGATTGATTCCTAGAGGAAGCAAACTTCGCAACATCCTTCTCAAAATCCTTTCTTCTTTTAAATGCCCTGAAAGAGTTGTTTGGAAACCCATACACTTGTTGCTTTCCTTCGTGCCAAGAATCGTATATTCCAAGCCTACGACCGACGAAAACAACATATATTTTCCCTCTCTGCAAAAATGATTTTTGAATTTGTCATTGATTTACGTTAATTTTAAATTTTAAAACTAAATACATCAATAAATCCTTCAAAATTCGTTGCTAACCTTCAATTCAAGTTTGTCCACCTCCCCGTCCCACCAAAACCTAGGCAACAGTAACTTTTTGCAATCACTGTATTGCTTTCCACTGTCAACAAGGAGAAGATAATCTGTCAACAGGATAACCACCTCAGAAAAGAGCCATACGTTAGGTTCTATCAACTAAATATATTTAAAAAAAAAAAAAATTGTCTGCCAGCAGGATAACCAACTCAAAAGAGAGCGCTGCGTTAGGTTCTAACAACTAAATTTATTAAAAAAAAAAGGGAAAAAAAATAGAGGCAACAATAGCTCTCTGAAATCACTGTATTGCTTTCCATTGTCAACAAGGAAAAGATGATTTGTCAATTTGTTTTTCCTCTTTTACAATTTTCTACATATTTTTGTAAACAACAGTTGATAAAGCACTTGGCTACCTGGAAGTAAATGAAAGTTGATTTTTTTTGCCTTCCCTTGGATAATTTCTGGGCTCAAAGTATTTGCCATACTGCATGTGGTGAATGTTCTCTCACCACAATCACCAGAAAACTTCTTCCCAAACCTGAAGTCCACTAGCTACAATGATTTAAGAAACAAATCTTCAGTTAACTGACTATTCAGAATTCTAGTTGCTTGGTCTAACATTAGAACATCAGGGGTCACACAGGAATGCCATTCTGAAAATAATGAAATTATATTGAATAGCACTTTATAAATCAAGGGCTCATAGGAAATTGCACATAACTGTGCAGATGGTTTATCAAGTGTCTTGTAAATTATTGAGGTCAAAGAGCAAGCAATACACGTATCTAGTCAGCAGAAGTGCAATAATTCAAGGAACACGGGCAGCGCTTCAAGTTGAAAAAAATTTCTGCAAGTGACGTGAAAAAGAAGGAAAATATCTTAAAAATACTCCCTAAGCCCCTGTTTGACTGCCGTTATTATGTAGAATAAATAGATGAAATAATGATTGTCAAACATGGCTTTACCTGTATTATTGAATCCAACATCCATGGCCCTCTTTCCATCCTAATAAATTATATAAAACCAACCGTATGGATTACCACTTACCTCCATTCAATTGCCAAGTCTGTGAATTTTGCGGATGGCTGAATCAACTTTAAATGGACCAAGCAATGGAGGGATTGTCTTCGCCCTCTTGCCCCTCCTTATGCCAGCATCATCCACAACATAATTGGGGCTCGCTTCGTTCGGCTCAATAGGAGTTTGATCTTCATCATGACTTTTATCAACCTCAGTTTCATGAAAGGCATCCCCTAGATTACTTTCAACTCCTAGTGGCATCATTGGCGTTTGATCTTCTACTAAAAAAACTAAATATAAGCAATCTAGAACCCCAAGCAATTAACATTAACCAAAACGTTTATAAATTACCGTTAGAAGTCGGAGCCCCTTGATTTTCATCCACGTCTGTCAAACATAAAAATAACACAATTAGTTCAAAACATAAATAAAATTTAACAAACTGAAAAAAGGACAAGATAAATAAATTATCACTTCTGTTCACAATTAGATTTAGCCTTCTCTCATCCCACATTTTTACAAAATTAGCATTTCTCACATTCCAATCAAATTTCTGTGAAGCAGTGCGCTTCTTATTGACAATGGCCAATGATGGCTCAATTGGAATTAAATCAACTTGTACGTTCATTTTCAATTGGCACAAGTCCGGCCTATGATATGCTAATTTTTCAAAACATATTATTATTGTGCATAAAAGCGCAACATCCATCTGTCCAACAAGATACTCGAGTAGAAAGTAACACAATCTAACGAGAGAATTGTTATTTGTTATTTAACGAGAGAAAATAACATAAAATTAATTGAAAATTAAAGAAAATTAGATTAGAGTAACTAAAAATTCACACAATTGAAACAAACTCACATTGTTATTTGTAAGTATCAAATCAAATTCTTCTTTTTTCTTTTTGATGTAAGAATTTCTTGACTTGAGTTACACCGAATGAGACCATCCAAACATCAATGGAAATGTAAAAAATAACTCTCGATCTTCAAAATTCTCTCGATAAATATCAAAATCATAGAGAGTACTGGGAATTATGGGCACGTGCTCATAGAAGAAAAACTACAAACAATCTCGCTCATAGGAATAATAATAGTATTATTAGGAGCTACTTTAGCTCTTGCTCAAAAAGACACTAAGAGTGGTTTAACCTATTCGACAGTGTCTTAATTGGGTTATATGATGTTAGCTTTAGGAATAGGGTCTTATCGAAGTGCTTTATTTCATTTGATTACTCGTGTTTATTCCAAAGCAATATTATTTTTAGGGTCTGGATTTACTATTCATTCAATGGAAACTATTGTTGGCTATTCCCCAGATAAAAGTCAGAATATGGTTCGTATGAGTGGTTTAACAAAATATGTACCAATTACCCAAATTTCTTTTTTATTAGGTATACTTTCTCTTTGTGGTATTCCACCACTTCCTTGTTTGGTCAAAAGATGAAATTATTGCCAATTTTCGCAATAATAGCTGGGACCACAACAGGATTGACCACATTTTATATGTTTTAGATCTATTTACTTACTTTTAAGGGGTATTTAAACGTTCATTTTCAAAATTACAGTGGCACAAAAATGCCCATTTATATTAAATGTCTCTATGGGGAAAGGGGGGTTCGAAATGAATTAAGAAACATTTTTGTTTATTAAAAGTGAATAATAGTAAAAGTTCTTTTTTTTTTCCCTTTCAAAAAAGACATATCGAAGTGATAAAAATGTAATAAATAGGGTAGGACCTTTTATTACTATTGATCATTTTGAGAATAAAAAGGATTATTTCTATTTTTATGAATCTGACAATACTATGTTATTTCCTTTACTTGTATTGTGCATCTTTATTTTGTTTGTTGGATCTCCAGGAAATCCTTTCAATCAAGAATTAGATATATTAACCAGTCTCATATTTACGATAACTTATGATGGAGTACCTAAGAAAACGAATATTATATATTAAGTTGACAATAACTAGAGCATTCTAGGTAATCAACTTTATGTAGCACAGTCTCCAATATTTCTAAAAAATATAAGGGACACCCTTTTCAGAAAAAATCTTGAAAAGAATTTAGGGTGCGTTTGATTGTCAATATTTTTCATGAAAAATGTATTTTTTCACTTAATTTTCTATTTTTGTGCTGTTTGATCGACAATTCTTTTCACGAAAAATATTTTCATACTTTTGGTCAGGTGACCATATTTTCTTTGAAAACAAGAAAAATATTTTCTTTAGGGAGATGCGATTTTAATTTTCCATATAATTTACTCTCTATTTCTTTCTCTCATCTACTCACCAATAAAAAATAGACAATCTATGATTTATTTTTTTTATACAAATTTTATACTCACAATTAAACGCACCTTTACAAAAGTAAACAAAAATGTAAAAAACTAACCTTTTAAAATATTCTCCAAAGAAATCTTCCGACATTAGACGACAGTTTTCTAAGTGCCCTTCCAATTTCGAGGTTCAAAACAGAAAATCCGATGATCAATATAACAAAATGTGACAAGACTTCTTTGAAGAACCTCTCTTTCGTGCCATCTTGAAGATGGAATCTCATGTCTGTTAATAGATAAAATTCTACAACGAATAAAGAAGAAAACATAGACTAACATATAAAGATTTCTACTAATACTCTTAATAAGATTGACCTTTTAAAATGAAACTTCAAATCTTAAAAACCTTTTAAGATGGAACCGTAAATCTTAATATGATATCGAAACTCACTAAGATCCAACGATTAATTCGATCGGATTAAGACTCAATTATGAGTAATCAAATTTCAAAACTAATTTACTTAAATGATTCACTATCTTGTGGAGACATGTTAAGGGATACAAACCCACATCAAATAAAGATGAAAACATATACCAACATATAAAGACTTAAACTACTCATCTTAACAATGTTGACCTTTTATAATGAAACTCAAAGTCTTAATAATATCTATTGGGCCCACTAAATTCAAATGAACAATTCAATGCGTTTAAAGCTCAAACGAGTTAAATCTCATGGAGGCATAATAGGTATATATATATCTTACACGGTCGAATATAAATACTTTAACCAAGCAAATCTATCAGGGAATCCAGCCAATGAAACTAAAGAAAATTTTAGCCAACAAAAAAGAAAAAAGAAGCTACTGTTAACAAACTCGAGTACAAGACTTCAAAACCGATCCGTCCCCATAAAGAGCCAACTTCCTGACAAAGTTTCTATAGAAAACGCACTCTTTAGTATATAGCGTATACACGAATTCTAAGTAATGCCAAAAAAAGTTTAAGCCGTGGCAGCTGCTGGAAGTGATCTGTAGCATGCTCTCTTAGCTGCACGAACAATATCTTCCACCTACCCATTTCATCATGAGTCAGAAAGGTCGAGATTAATAGTTTCAGGTCATCAATCATGATTTAAACATTGTGATCGAATGAAAATCTCTACGTACTGAAAATGTCACCCCCCCCCCCCCCCCCCCCCCCCCCCCCCCNNNNCCCCCCCCCTTTTTTTTTTTAAAAATGCATTTTGCAACAGTATGTTATGATGAATAATTTATAGTTAAAAAATAAGAAAAAATTTTGAATTTCCGTATAATATTATTTTATTGAAGAATGTGTGGTTGTAATGAGATAAAATCACTGTTCAAGAATGTATTTTGATAAAAGAAAAAAAATGGGGCTCAAACAAGGACTTAATCGAAACCTCTCAAAAGCTCATGGAATCTATATAATCTAGATATTAAATAAAAAGAGACTGAGTGGGTTGAACTGGAACCTGCGGAAGAGCCATTCTCTCGAGATTAGCAGCATAAGGCATGGGGACATCTGCTCCAGCAATTCTCTCAACTGGAGAATCGAGATAGCCAAAGCTATCCTCAACAATTGAGGCGCTGCAAGAAAAGAAACACAATACATAATTCTCAAAAGATTCATTAAAAAATGTCATGCCAAATGTGATACTCAAGTACACAGAGAAGCCAGACCAGATTTCAGCGCCAACTCCATGTTGAGGAAACCCTTCTTCGACAGTTACCAACCTATTTGTTTTCCTAACTGAAGCATTAATTGTGGGTCTATCAAGTGGCCTAATTGAGCGCAGATTTATGACCTGTGAGGACAGGAAGAAGCAGGTAAACAAAACCGAAGCACAAGTACAGACCCCGAACTCAGTGCTTTCAAAACAAAACAAAACCACTAATATAGAATATAGATAAAGCATCATTCAATCTCAGTTGATAAACCTCAGCATCTATCCCATCCTTTGCAAGTGTCTCAGCAGCCTGAACAAGAACAAAGTTCCATTAGGAGACCATAAATAACTCAGAATAGCATATTAGGTTACCACTGTAGAGTTCAAAGAAACTATAGAATAAGAGGAAATGAAATTGTCAGGTATATAGTGGAGAATTGTGAAAGGTTTAATCCCGCTAAGAGGGAGACTTGCCAGGATAAAACTTTATAAATCTACTAAGAGTGGTTATCAAATCATCATTTAAAATATCTAATTCTGTAATGAGTGATAAACTAGTGATACACATGTTGAACATGAATTAAACAAACTTTGTATATATAGACGTCTCATAAAGCTTAAGCTTAAATCACAATGCCCAAGAATTGACCCCCTAAAAATTATATGAAGCCTTCAAATTTCTCTCTCAAAAATTGAAAGTAAACTTTCAATTTGTTACCCAGGCCTCGTGCCCGGCCGTTCTCTTGCTTATTGCCCGCTTTGGAAGGGCATGTGCTCTCTTACCCATCACAAATTTCTTTCAAGTCCCCTAAAAACCTCTGCCTTATGAAAAACTCAAGTAAAATCCTAGTACAAATTAGGCAACATAAGATAAAGGCCGGGCACAAGAACTAACTCGTTACACAATTGGTTTGTACATCCACACTGAACACCTATGAAGCACGGACACATGTCGAACACGCCGACACATAATTTTTTTCAAAAAAATTACCGACACTACACGTCGATTAAATTCTTTAAAATTCTTTATTTATATAATATAGTATAAATTTATTTTTATACTTGTTATTAATTTTTCTAGTCAAAATCTATTCAATATGAGTACATATTTGTTATTTAATAATAACTTTGAGTTAAAAATATATAATAATTCTAATAAAGAAAAAATAACATGACAGAGTGTTCGAGAAATGTCGGTATCCAACAAGTGTCCGACTTGGACACACTACTCTAGTTGAAGTATCCGCGATACAGAGCTAAACATGTTAAAAAGCTAAAGAATGCATGAAGACAGACAGACCGACCGACCTTGAGAGAAAAGCCCACCATCTTTGAAAAAGCCGTAATAGTTACATGTTTTCCTTCTCTCTCAATCTGTACATGCCAAACGGAAAAAAATGATTAGCATATACCAGTTCTACACAAGGAGGAGGCTAATCAACTCCATACCATTATGTATGATGTATGAAACATACTTTAGCTTTCCCTATAGGGATGCAAAATCTAGAATCAAGAACTTCAGCTGAAACAGGGAAAGCTTCACCATACCTGTTATATAAATTATATATTGCATGCCATTAGAATTAATCATTAAATTTAGGAGCTTTAACATAACAATTGATCAATTAGAGTCAATCATGACATTAGTCAGTATTGGATCCTTACAACAGTTCATTTTCAAGGAAAACAACAGGATCAGGGTCTCTAATGGCAGCTTTAAGAAGTCCACGAGCATCTTCAGACGAATATGGGATCAGCACTTTCAATCCAGGGCATGAGCCATACCAAGCTGCATAACACTACATTGCACAACTGTTAAGTACAATTTTCAGCAAAATGACAAGTTATATCAAAATACCAAGCCATCAGAGATAATAGCATTTAGAATGAAAGGCATTCGATAACATATCACATTGTCCATAAGAAGGTCATACAACTAACATTAAAAGGTGATTAACCAAGTAGCACACCTGGGAGTGCTGGGCTCCAACACCAGCAGCCGCACCATTTGGCCCCCTAAAAACAATAGGCACATTAATATTGCCAGCAGACATGTAGTTTGTCTTAGCAGCAGAGTTAATAATGTGATCAATTGCCTGCAATCAATATGTAAAAACAACATCAAATTTAAAAAAAAAAAAAAAACAATGGGGTCAAAAAAAAATTACAGACTAATGAAGATCATAGCCGCTATAATGGGATAAAAGAGTATTTTGTAACCTCATTCCTGATCCATCCAATTACAAGAAAGAGGCTATCAAATGAATTTCAATTTTCTTGACACAACAGTCAGGACAACAGTTTAGAGAATAGAGAGCCTGACATGCATGGTCACCAGCTTGTTAGAAGTCATATCAAATGTACGCTGTAACAAGACAGTATCTAGACTACAAGTCACCTATTTTATGGGTAAATGGTGATCAACAACCTGCTTACTGGGTGAAGGAATTGCCATTATTACTAGCAGAGGCTTCATTTATTTATTTTTCATCTCAAAAGTTTCTACATCTCCTGTGGGGAGTTCCGACCGTTTGCTCAATGATTTGGAATATACTCACTCAAACAAAGAAAATCTTGAAACAAAAGAGACACGAAACCTGCATTGCAAAATTAAATGTCATAAACTCAACAACAGGTCTGAGTCCATAAAATGCAGCACCAACTCCAATCCCTGTAAAGCCAGCCTGCAAATCAAGCGAGCGTATAATTCTGAGCATGGATGAAACCAATATAAAATTAATGAAATTGAGCCTTAAAGGTCACCATGCTAGATAAAGTGAAACAAAAATTTTAATCATCTGATCATTTGAAATGCTGAAGTATCCAGCAAGTTGCCACTAAGTTAATCAATCGAACCTCCGTGATTGGTGTATCAACAACCCTTTCAGGACCAAACTTCTGCAGGAGTCCTTTGGAAACCTGAAAAATAGAAGCTTCTCCTGATCAATATTTGATAATCAATTGATTTCATGTATGCATAGACTATTAGACATACACACATACAGAGAGAGTGGGGATCTAGGGAGGTAAGCAAGCCTAACCTTGTAGGCACCTTGATATTCCCCAACCTGAAGTTATAAAGGAGGATGATGAGAAGAAACAAATAACTATATTTGGAAAAGTTCATGAGTAAACACTTCCCCACCTCTTCACCCATCAGGAAAACGTTGTGATCTGCGGACATTTCCTCATCAAGAGCAGAATTTAAAGCTTCTCTTACAGTCATCTGCATCAAGTTGCAGTTTTCACCATAATGTAAATTTTGAATCACTTAATAGCAGGACTGTACAATATATACATTCCGTTGCCATTCTTCGTACAAGTGTGCTATCAGAAAAGAAATAATAGACATAATAATGAGTTTGGATCGTGGATGGGCTTCTGGCTCTGCCGTTCAATTTTACGTCTAATTTTCTAAAAACAATCATTTTGAAAAGGTTTGAATCTACGAACATGACAATAATTTTGAAACATTTGGCCAGATTAAATTAAAGCCCTGATTAAATTTAATCATAACAACATTACTTTCGCACTTGGAGGTTAGAAGACACATTTAGAAACGGAAAAAATACGACACTTTGCATAAAAATGAATGTAATTAATAATCGGATAACCGAATCAAGTACCTGCTTAGCTGAAGAGGAATAACTTCTCAACGCTAATCCTGCAGGCTTTAGAAACTGGAAAAACAATAATTAAAAGATAAAAAGCCTAAATAAATAATAGCAGAAATTAGAAACTAAGTCGCAAACTAAATTACCGGAGAAGTAAAGACTGGAGCATCAAGTTTGTTCCTCATAATCCTCAACATCTTCTCTTCTCAGTTCTTTCACTAGAAAAACAAAATTTATTGTGAAACATAAACAATATGAACTGAACAAATATACGGTACATATAGCTCACGATTGTGTAATATAAACAAGCTGTAACGATCATGATGAAGTAATTATTAGCAGGTAATCAAAAAGAAATTACATCCATACACGATTAATTTGAGAGTGAAACAGGTAGAGAGTAGAAATTAGCAATCTGTGTGGGTGTGCCTCTGGGCTGATCTTCGTCTCCATCTCCTTTTGACAATGAGTACTGCTACAGAATCGGTTGATATTTGTACGCGTGTACTCGTGGAAAAGCTGAAAGTGTGTAGTGGGGCCCATTCGAGTTGCAACGTGTTGGGAAGATCGAAGGACGAATCTTAGATCATTTTCCGTCAGTCTACAGCATTCTAGTAGGAAGGTAAAAGAACCTATATAATTTTGTTTTTCTCCGTCCTCCCGTGAGGTGTCTTTAATGCGATTGGTAGGTTTTTTTTTTTTTCTAACACTTTTATGCAGCATTATGAAGTTTAATAGCTCATTTTCTATAGTTGCATCTACCAAGTAATCAATTCTGAGGAGTGAACAATTGTCTATGAGACGTGCCTTATTGAAGTTCATAAAATTTTGATGAGTAAGCTATTTTTCATTGCTTTTTGAAATTAGTACTACATTACATATTCAAACCCAGTATATAGCTTCGCGGATAAAATCATTTTTTAACATGTCCACTTCATTTTTCAATGCTACACACTTTTCAGCACTCATTAGTCACCTCCTTTGCATTTTAGATTTTACCTTATAATCAATTTTCAAGGCATGACAAACCACTTTGAAATCTATTCCCACTTTGCTTTCAAAATGTTTTTTATAGGCTTTTCATAAGTTCATTCAATTCTTTGCAAATTTTCAAAGCTTTACTTGCATCTTCTAGACTGATAGAAAAACTTTCTAGTTCTTCGAATGCAGTTGCTTCAGACTTGCGACTAGTTATGTGAGAGGATATTGAGTCATTTATTTCAAATTTCTTCTTGATATTACTCATCTCAACTATAGTAATTATATTCTCCTTGTAGTACGTAAGTCTCTTTCTCTTAAGTCACCTTGATGGTTTCTTTGCACAATTTCCTGATTATGTTTTAAGAGGCTTGCTTTTACTCGTGGGGAATTTAACATGCGGCTATTGGAGGGAAATCACTATGTTTGCATGCCTCTTGGCAGGTTGTTCAAGAATTTCATCATATGCACACTTTTCATTTATGATAGAGAAATCCATGATGGATTTGGCAATATTTGATGAAATAGTAAGGCTCCACCACAAAAAGTCATGGATTATATTTTTTCATTCGATTGAAAGTATTTTCATATAGAACGCTAATTGAACTTCCGTTGTCTGGAAGTATATGATTAAAATATTCTCCAGCTATTATTACTTGGATAACTTTTATTTTATCTTCAAGACTTGAATATTCACTTCTAGGTTCTACAGACTTAAGTTTAGAGATTATATCGTTTCGCAATGTGTTTCAGTCTGATTAAGTGTTAGAAGATCGTATGTCGTTCTAACTTGTTTTCTTTTTTGAGCATGGGGTTGAGTGGTTCGACTATGTTGAGACCTCCTCAATTTCTTATCTTTGAGGGCATGTTTTGTCCACGTCGACGAGTAAGGAAGTGGTCATTTTTGGGATTTTTCAAAGGCAAGAGACTCACCTCACAATATACCTTGATATGGCTTTTTGCACGAGTTTTTTGTGGTTAAATGTGTGATTTCCCACAAATGATGTCAATTTGTTGACCTTTTTTTTAATGTTCATGTGGGCAACATATGTCGGACCCACTTGCGTCCACACAAACAAATTCCAACACGTTTTGACCAGAGATCCGGACGGAAAGGTTGGTGTTTATGAACGTGAAAAATGCTCTAAGACACAAGATAAGAATGTTTGTGCACCGACAATATGATCAAAGTTAATTGCATATAAACAACTCAATAAAAGTAGAAGTAATCTAAACTCAAGAAAATAAATATGAAATAAGCGACAGAGAAGATTAAGCATGGTTTCAAGTGTAAAAGGTTGCAATAGCCACAAATATAAAGTTCTGGTCGACGTGGTAGCCGTTGGATCAGAACCATGTGGTCTCATTTCTCTGGCCGAAGCTTCACATCACTTCTTCGCTATGCATTTAATATATTGACAACGGGGTCAGCCATCCTATACATTAGGCTAATAATCACGACATTCATTATTACAAACGTTACATCAATTACTCCTAAAAATTGCATGCAAATCCTCTAAAAGACAGAGGGTTTAAGCCAAAGGGAACTTCGTATTGGACGTCTTTCGGTGTGAAGAGCTGCGGGATAGAGAGCTTCAGCTTCTTCATTGACTTCTTATGTAGTGCTTTGGCTTCAGAGCTTCAATCACTTATATAATGCTTCGGATGAGAAGGGCCCCTGCTTCTTCTGTGAAGACTTCGGCAGGAGGAGCTCCGGAGAATCGGTTTTCTTTGACATCTTTATTTTGATCACTTGAGTCTTTGTTAACTTGGCCAAATTTGACTTACATTTTCAAGTGGACTATGACATGGTCTTTTGATTGAAGCCTCGGTGGCGAAGCGTGACAAATTTTTTGTCTGAACTGAATATGAAAAACCTCAATAAAGGAAGGTTGATTGTGCAAACAGCTCTATAACATGAATGTGAAGATAATTAGTGACTGCCAGTTAAAAAGTAGAGCACCTACTATAAATTATAATTTGATAATCCATCTATACCTATGCAGGCACTCTAAAACAGATTATTTTGGGTTAAGAAGCTTCTTAATTGGAAGGAATTAAGGAGAAGACAAGAAAACCAGTGAAATCAGCATTTTTACCTAAAACACCATATGCAAACACCTATAGATGGTAAAGGTCAAAAACAATCATTACTACTTTATTCGAAGAACAATCTCATGCAGATGGTGAGTGAGGTATGGAAATGCGATTTCAATGGCATCTACTTGTATAGGAAGCGATGAAAGAGAACGAACTCGGCTTTGTTCCGTGGTATATGATAAATTCAATCACCAAACAGTGAATACTCTCAGTCTCACATGCATTTGCACTTGTGCTGCATGCATGAAATTATTATGTACCAAATATTGGAAAATATAATTCAACAGTGCAACTAATTGTTGGATGTAGATATACAGTTTCCTGTATCAATCTCCATATTTACATTCATGGATCATTGTGGAAAGCATTGGAGATTTTCTGACTAGTTGTTTGTAATTGTCTAAATTTAGCAAGTTTCTGAAATTCAAGCATCTTTGGATTCTGCTACACCGTGGGTTTATTGGGCTTGCTGGGTGGTTCTCTTTAACACTTTTATTGGGCCTATGCTATAACCGGGTTGTGTGTTTTTCTTGTATCATTTGTGGCCCTTGATTCAACCTACGATTGAGATTAAAGTGGGTGAGATATTTTCTTGTTTTTGAATCTATATCACGTGGGCTTTGCTTCTAGGATAATAATACTCGACTTCCTTCTTTGACACGATTCAGCCCGGTTTCTCTCTGTCTGGTTCCAGTCCTCTTCTTCCTTGTATCAAAATCGACCATGTAGCCTATTGATTGAAGAAACCTTGGTGTATTCTTAGGCCTGAAATAGAGGTAAAGAGTGGTGGTTTCTTTGTTGGTTTTGGGTCCGATTGTTGGTAGGAACTTGGCTATTTTTGGGAAGATCAATTGATCGATGATCCTAGCCAAGTGTAGAGACATTCTTTACCGGTTCTCACCTCTCTCTGGATGGCGATTTGTGGGCGTGGAAGGCTGTTCCTGAGCCTAGATGATTCAGCCGTGAGAAGGGAAGAACAACCTGCGAAGGGAAGAAGAAGGACCAGGTTCTGGACGGTAAAAGGGAAGTGAAATTTCTGCTGGTTCTGGCCTTTTTTATTTCTGTCCAGTTTATGTTCTGTTCTCAGTTCTTATGATTTCATTTAATCTGTTGATTTCTACATGCTGAGGTTTCGATTTTATATGTCTAGGATATGATCATACCAGATTACATTTAGTATGCTAAGGGTATTATATATGATAATGTGTATTGAACTCTAGCATTAAGATTTCTAAGCATTCTGGGAAATCTGTATTCTGGTTTTGGAGCCTGCTTTAATTATGTTACCTTGGATATTGAACTTGTCATTACATGTTTGAGCTGCTAGAACTCTGTTAATGATGTGTACATTGTGCTATTTATTCTCAACATCTGGTATTAGAGCTAGATTTTTCGATCTAGGGGTTTGACTGTATCCTTTATTTAATCTGCTAATTAGGTTTGATTGTTTTTGGGGCATTCTAGGGTTTTAATTTGATACTGATTATTGTGACTTTGTGTTGTGCATATTGTTGAATTGGGTGACTGGTGATTCTGGTGAACTTTGGCTGGCTTGCTCGACCGATGGTATTTTTTACTGTTTCTCAACAGTAGTTTGGTAAGATTATTCCAAACTCTCCGATAGTTTAAGTTTGGTACTTTTACCATTTTATGCACGATTGTTTGGTTACTAAATTCTTGTGATTAATTTGTAACCTGAAAAGCACGTTTATCTGCAATATATACTTGTGCATTGCCTAAAGTTTGAATCACACCGGCACACACGTCACACTGAAGTTTAAGTGATCGAATTGATTCGTTGTTGTGTTTCATTTCTGCACATCGGTTTTAATTTTGCATTCATATTGTGTGTTGATCATCTGGAAAAGATTTTTTCAAAACCTTTTCTGTTCTGTCCATGAGTACGGGCCACCCTTTTACAGAATTTGGAATGGGTTCGAGGGTCGAATTATCGCAATTCGATGGAAAGGGGGACTACTCAATTTGAAAACAGAAAATGAGGGCCATTTTGGTCCAACAGAGAGTTGCTAAAGCTCTCGATGATCCTTCGAATTTTTCTGACGAGTTAAAAGCTAAACTTGATAAAATAGAAGAAATGAATGAAATAGCATATAGTTCC